ATAAATAAATAAATAAATGAAAGCCTGCCTCAGAGAACTCTCCATCCATGAATGTGGATCTTAGTCTCTTATTGCAAAGCTGTTGTGTTTTTGCTTTGATCATTTCGAGCATTTAACCAATGTCACAAGGGAAAGAAAAAGTGCTCTCCATCCTGCCAACATGACGTATTGCAACATGGTCATAATCACTCGAGCTGCACTAATGCCTTCTTGCAGATTATAATATGAATCATTAAAGAGTAGGCTGATGGTGGCTATGGGGAAATTAAGGGAAGATAATTTTAGTTTCCATACCGGTAAATGAAAGCAGGCCAGCTATGGTCCCTCACTGTGAATCCAAGCTGCTTGTCTATTGCCCTGTCATTTGTACATCATTAATAACACCTTCAACAAATCTTCTCTCTTAGTGTGGCAACAGATTTACAGCTCAGATTTATCAGCAGCAATTCAGCTGAATCCATTCATTTTTTCCTTTCTTCACTCGAGAATAGTTGCTGGTTTGAAAATTCCCTTAAACAATTAGTCCTGCAGCCCCGGCTCATGCATCAGAGGAACAAAGACCAAATGCACCATGGGTATAATTCTGTCAGGTTTGTCCGGTTGGAGGACTGCCGATTACAGTAAACACCAACAACAGCTCTCTGTTGTGTCACAACAACAGATACACACAGAAACATGCACACATGCATATCAAGGTTCCAGTCCACTGAGTTATACAGCCATAGAACCACATAAACTACCGCTATGCCTTCATGCTATAAACAAAAGAAGAGGGGAAATGCTAATTTGTGACATCCAAGGACAGAAGAGGCAGCACATAAAATCCAAGACTTTTCGACTTCTTAGTTTTTTTGCATTTTTTTCCACACTTAATTGTTTCAGATCATCAATGACATTTATGTTATCCAAAGATAACTTGAGTAAATACAAAATGCATTTCTTAAAATCAGAATTTCATTTATTAATGGAAAAAGCTATCCCCACCTCCACTATTAAATGTACTAGCCACACCCAGGCCTGATAGCGACCAGATCACTTAAATAGGCCCAGAAGGACGGCCTTGCCTGCCTTGCCTCAGTTAAGGTCAGAGTTCATGATTCAATATATAAAAAGGCTGAACAAAAATGGCATCCATAGACAGAGGTGGGAAGTAACAAAGTGCAAATACTTCCTTACCGTACTTAAGCACAATTTCACAATTTTTTACTTTTACTTCCTACATTTTTAAACAAATATCTGTATTTTTAAAACAGGCTTGTTTCTTTTGCTTTAACGCATTTGGGTCGAGCCTCCAAACATCAAACCAAGCCTAAACAGAAACACATGAAAGGCAATCCTGTTCATTTCTTTATCACCAGAGGATAGTCGGAGGCTAAAAGAGGAATGGGGGGGGGTTGTTGTTTTTGCCACAACACCAGAATTATTGCAGGTGTCTGTACGTTGCGGTAATTCAGCATCTAGCTAGTCCTGACTTTTTTAAAGGGAGTGACTTTTTTAAGTGGCCGGTAATTTCAAATGTAACGTTTCTATCAGCTCAACAACCATCAGCAAACACACAAACTGTTTGTGTGTAGCTTGTTACACAGTGTGTTGCTAGCTAAAGGTCCAGCTGCTGTATTTCACAGGGAGAGAAAAGAAAGAGCTTCACTCAGAGATGGAGAAAGATAAGAAAGAGGACAGAAGAGGAAGAAGAAAGGCTAGATTTAAAGGTAAGGATGCTCAGTGAGATTTGATAAACTTGGAAATTTAAAGCTTATGTGTAAGTCCTCATGCTTTTAAATGTTTAAATGTCATTTTTTCATATTGTGAAACATGCTGCAAATCAAACTGAAGTAGACTAACTGCTACTTAAAGGTTGCATTAAAATCCTCTGTAGGTTAGTGCAGGATGAACACATTAGTTTGCTCAGCTGTGATAAATTTAAAGTAAAGAATAGTGTGTGAGTTGTGCACAGTGGCTGTGGTTTCATTGTCAGAGTTAGGTTACATGAAGTGTAGCAGAGATTCATTTGAATTTTAGCCCATGATGCTAAGATCCACTCCAATACAATTAGTATGGATGCTGATTAAACATCCACAGTATAGTTCTTCTACTTCTCATCTTCAGTACGTTTCTTGTACGCTATCTCCTTTAACACTGTTCAACTTAGAAAAACCATTCAACCACCATTAGATTCCTCTTCTTTTAGACATGTGTGCTTGTATTTTTCTCATTTTTAACTTTTTTTTTTTTTTTTAATTATTCAACTTTATTCAACAAAAATTTACAGTGTATTTTCAATGGGAGAATTCAAATTCTCATTCAACTTACTCCTCTTTCAACTCTAACTACTTCCACATACATTGACCGACAGACACCATTCAAACTGTAAAATGAAGCCACGACATTGAACTATTCAGGTTGTATTTATCTTTTTAATATTTTTTATACTTTTTCTTCAGTTCCAGTCACCGTTTCTGAGTTTATAATGGGTGTGTATGGGACGCAATGTTGGAGGTTAGAGTGAGACAGCTCAACTGCTTGAGGGGAAAAATTGATCTTAAAAGTTTAAACTGCTGCTGCTGTGTCCACAGTGTTTGGTGTACAGCCATCATTTTACTCTCAAAAGGTAGCCATCGTTGTTCCCTTTCATCCAATGTTATTGTTATTGTAATGGATGTTATGGTTCTTTCATAAATGCCACCAATGCACAGCCTCCTCCATGGAACTCTTCCACAGAGTCCAGTGATATTATTTTCTCATTATGCTAATATAGCAACTAGGTTCACAGTTAGCTTTGCACAAAAATAGAAACATCCTCGAAAGAGCTCATTTTTTCTTTCTTACTCTGAGTACATTTTAGTACTTTTTTACTTGAGTAAATAAGTTGAATCAGTACTTTAACTTTTACTGGAGTGTTTTTTAACAGCAGTATTTATACTTCTATTTAAGTACTTTGCCAACTCTCCAATAGGAGAGTTCCAAGGAGAAAACTGTTGCTGACTAAAAAGAACACAAAGGCTTGTGTAACATTTGCCAAGAACCATATTGATGATTCCCAAAACTTATGGTAAAATATTCTTTGGCCCTTTTTGAATTCAAAGCTGTTTTAGATAACGCTTCAAATAAGTGTGCAAATAATTACCCACAGGCATATTGAAATGGCTGCCAAGTGGCAAGACGTTCTTCAGGAGGAAGTTAATCTGTGTGGTCTGTGTGGATATTTCTGCCAGATGAGGATAATAGCTGTAGCCTAGAAGGACTCATCAAAGATTTTGTGGACCATGAAAATGATTATCACATGCTGTGATCTCCACGATTATTAAATCCCAACAAAATCAAACGCTCAAACAATGTTTAGAAGCACAGCATATCTTTTGGAAGAATGGTGTTTATCTTTTTGGAAGCTCTTGATAGCCCAGATACTTGTTAAGATGTTTTACTTTTTGCCTTTAACAAACTAACCATCTGTTTATGAGAATTCTTGATTGGCTGCCCTGTGGCACTAATTATCTGACCATTACTGCCACACAATTTCTTGAGACAAATTCCCAAAGATTGAGCAGTAAGCCACTCCATCTGAACAAACAAGATATTTTATAAAGGATGTCCAGGTGAGTATGCTGTATAATAAAACTGTACTTATCGAGCAAAGACAAAGCATCAGCTCTTAAATCACAAGTTTAATTACCTTGTCTGAAATCATCATGCTTATCACCTACTTGACACACCCAGAAAGTTTACCGAACAGTTATTTATTTCTAAGTTAACTTACCTTCATTTGTTTATTTGTTGCATTTTTGAGTGGGTTGTCCATCCATGTTCTTGCACTAATCTAATTCTGGGTTGTGAGGGGAGCTGAAGAATATCTCAGTTGTAGCAGGGCCAAATACACCTGGACAAGTCACCAATCTGTCGCAGGGCTAACACCATACAGACAGTCAGTCATGCCCATGTTCACACCAGTAGTCACTTTAGGATCACCAATTAAGCAGCTATAAAACCAGCTCCTAGTTTAAATTTGGGAGATAAACACTCTCTTAAGCTTATGCTTAAAAATGTCATTATAGTTAGAGCTGGACTGAACCAATAGGCTTGGGCAGCTTGGGGGCTTCCCATGATGAACTTCTTTACTTGTCTATTTTAACTCTATTTTCACTTTTATATACCACTACTGTATTTAATGATTAGCAGTTATTACATTCTGGTGCTCTCTCCATAGTTTGCTTTTTGTCCTGTTTCACTTTGCTCTCTTCTCTTTCTCCTCACCTCCAACCAGGCAGATGGCCGCCCCGCCCTGAGCCTGGTTCTGCTGGAGGTTTCTTCCTGTTAAAAGGGAGTTTTATCTTCCCACTGTCGCCAAGTCCTTGTTCATAAGGGGTCATATATTTGTTGGGGTTTTTTCTATAATATTGGTCTTTACTTTACAATATAAAGTACCTTGGGTTGACTGTTTTGGGAATTCGGACTATATAAGTAAATTTGAATTGAATTGAATCTCTTTGGGCCTCACAATGAAAATTACACTTCCGAATCACGTGTTCTTCATCTGATATAGCGCATCAAACCACTGTCAATCCACCTAACTTTGTCTCCTTTAACAAATAAATAAAATCAGATTAGCTTTGAAGTATTTACAGAATATACACCAGTGTCAACATAAAGGATTGTTTTTCAAGGTTTTATTCAAAAGAAATGTAAACAAATTTAGAGTTAAAATACAAAACTAAGCAGATAAACATTTGCACCAATAAATATATTTTAATCAAGATGAGAGTTGGCTTACTTTATACTTCCATCTGTACACCTGTTTTTTAAACAAAATTCGGAATGATTTTTGCACTTTGGTTTGAATGTCCTTTTAATGCATTAGAAGCCAGAAAAATTCAAACATGCTGCTCGCCATCATCAGCACCAGCATCTTGTTGATTTGATGCTGCTCTCCACACATGAAGACCAACTGTCGAAATACTCACAGTCCAAGTGGCTTTTTCATCAACAACAGAATGTGCCACTCCTCCTCAAAACAGGCTGTGATGTCTAAAAATTTTCAGCCTGGTCAGAAATGTGAAATAGATAAAAGCTAGGCTTACCAGGACATTTTTCAATGGGTATAAGAAGGGTGTTACAAAGCCAAACACGGCAATCAGAGAAACCCGCAAAACAAAGAAAGGGAAGTCCTGAAGAGCAAATCCAGCAGAAGACAACAAGGGGTTGTGAGGTGTGATAATCATACGAAGAGTAGAGAGGAAGGCGAGGATGTAGACTGGGAACACCCAGCCTGAGTAGAACACTGAGGGCAGTCCTGCCACTCTCACCATCTCCACAGTGTCAAACCAGAAAAGGAAACTATCCACAAATATTTCTGACCTTCCGTCCCTTTTCCACAGGATGCTCGGGCGACCCGAGTACGACAGAGGGCGTGAGGTTGAGGAGTACAAGTAGGCAGTGCTGGTGATTCGTGTTCTTGGTGGCGAGTTGGCAACATCGTGGAATCTGTTAGAGGGACTGCCATTTTTGGCCTCTGGTTGGCCTTGGGTCACACCGTTCTGGCCTTCTTCAGGATTCATCTGGCTTGATACGGTGGTCACTGGTTCCATGTGGGTGAGGACAGGGCCGGATATGTCAAAGTCTGAATCTAAGCTGTCTGCTATAAATGACAAAACCAAATTTTTCTGTATAAGTTAGGTTATCCAAAAGACTAGCTAATAACAAGAGAACTTGTCTTTTTTTAAATCATTTTTTAAAAATAAGAGAAGAAAAATCATCTTTAGCATAGGTAACGACAATCATGTGACGGGGTAAGGTGGTTAGTGTTAGGGTTTACTGTAGACTGTAAGGTCCAGCTTCCATGAATCAGGCTTCTTACTGTACATTTAGCAGATACATGATTTGAATTTGGAGAATTTGTCATGTTGGTCAATGTTTTGTGCTCTTGTGTTCTCCAGCTGTTTAGGTGGGTTGTATTCAACTGGTTAGAAAATGCACAGGAAGTCTATGGCCAAAGTCCCAAAAACTTGACTCTGTTCATCTGGATGTAGAGTTTTCAGTGGTAGAAACATTTTCAAGTATCACTCATTCAAGTGTTTCTTCTGTCTCAGCTGACTGCAGGTTTCCCCAACCTTATAAATCGAGTCAAGTCACTTGGTGACGAAACATTTCTCCCACTGAAAATGCTATGTCTAGATAAACAGAATCAGGCACTGACGCAATGTAGCAGTGGTACAGGGATGTATTAGGGAGAGCTGGAAAATTTTGCAGCTGACTAAACAGCTAAATTAGGAAGGGTGTGTTTATTATCATCCTCTTTGGCTCTTGGCCAAGGCGGTTGGACTTTTTCTCCTCTCCTCTCCCCCTTATCTTCCCTGCTTAGCCTCTTGTATCCTTGTCTAGTCTTGTGTATTTTTGTATTACTTTTCCCTGGAACACTCTCTCACAGTCTGTTCTCGAAAACCTAAAGAGGAATTATGGATTTGATCAACTGGTCCCTGAATGCAATTGACACCCTTCTCTCAATGAGAAGTCTGGGCTCAGGTGAGCCTGAGTGCTGAAGATATCTACCTATTCGGAAGCATGATAACAGGGTTCTTGCTGATCGGAGCTGGCTTGGCCCTGACTTATCGAAGATTAAAGAAAGTGGAATCGGCTGTTCAAAACCCCACAAGGCTGCCCGCTGGGATTGAATCAATAGGACTACGTAATGGTGAGTTCTCAAAATTGGCTCATTGAGCGCAGCACGGATAAGATCATGGAGAAGCTTACGGCTGCCGTGAACACTCAGAATAAGACCTCTGAGTGAAAATTGGATTACATCTTGGAGAAGTTCTCAGAATCTGCTCTTTGAGCACAAGAATGACAACATCACGGAGCGCAAGTTTGATAACATCATGGAGAAGCTCACGGCTCTCCAACAGGAGATTGAGAGACCAGTGTCGGACTGTTAGAACTGCTTTGAAATTCACATGAGTTGTTCGCACTAAAGTAAAAACCACCATCACTTCATGCGGCTACCACTTCGGCGCCAGCTGTGATCTCAAGGCTGGAGCTGAACAAAAACACCCTGATAACAGACTGTGCTTAGACTGTTCTTCCTATTCTACACAAGGCCACCTGGGTTGGCTGGAAGACTGTTTACTTAGCCTAGCAGGGCGAAGGACACTGTCTCAGCTGAACTCTGGACACACACACACACACACACTGATACACACTCATCCCCCCTCCCTTTCCAGACGCCTTCGATGCTTGTGTCCTACCGGGGAAGATGGCGGTCGATTGGACCAGCGCAGACATGCTGCAGGACCGGATGCGCTGTCTACACCGGCTCTCTCTTACCCTTTACCCGCCCCTGTTGCTTGTCTTGTGTTTCTATGGTGTATTGATAGTCATGTGCTTTTTGTGCTGAGGTGTTTTTTTCTGTTATCAAACTGTTCTCCCACTAGGAGCTCAGTCTGAGTGGAGTTTTCTCCTCCTCTCACCTCATGTTATGTATTTTCGTTGTTTTTTTCCTATCAGCCTACCTCTCTGACATGTCTTCCCAATGTGATGTTTGTGTAAAGTTTGGTCAGAAGGTTCCTTTGTAAGTGTGCATGCGCCATTAGCGTGCTGCCTGCTGTAACCCTAATTTCCTTCGGGATTAATAAAGTATTCTGATCTGATTCTGATTTGAAATCTGATGTGAGTGAAGTGACGGATATTTCTCTGAACTAGCTTGCAGTCTGTGCTGCTTTAATGAAATAACAAACCAATAAAATAAAGTGTTACAAATAAGCGCAAAAGGTCTATGGATTCAGTTAAATAACCACTCCCGCAGAAGATGAAATGTGACGCAAAAATATTCAATAATCATAAAAGATTTGGAAGAATTCAAGCCTTACATTTTCCCATGAGTTTGCAGGGTCGAATCCTCTCAATGATATCCACCCAGATGAGGAAGAAAAGCACCAGGGAAACTGGCAACTCAGAGAAACTGTCCAGTGTCTGTCCTCTGTCCACCTGCACCTGTGGTTTCACAATAATAGAAAATACTCATAAGTGGAACAATGAATGTATTCATTCATTGTTCCACTGGTAAAGGATGGTAAAGGATAAAGTGAGGAAAAAAAATGAAACTGACAGTCTTTGTAACATTTGTCTCCAATGAGAAAGAAGTGCCTACATTCCAAGTTTTATGAACCCATTAGGATTTACTTCCCTATCCTTGCAGATTTACATCTTTACGCTCGTAAAATAAGAAACACTGGGTGAATAAATATGAGAAACATCTTTGTGCTTATTTATGTTCTTGTTGGAACAACAATAAAATACTAAGTGACACAGTGTAATGTAGGAATAAAAATTCTTTTCTTTTTAGGGTCGGGGATAGCATCAAACCTTAAGTTAATGGACAAACTGTTGTTTTCACTATAGGTTACTGAATAGCTCAGAGGGAGGGCAGTCTTGTGACTGGGGACCTATTTTCCCTGCCAAAGTCCTTCTCACAAATTCTTTGACAATATGGCAAAAACAATAGGTGTACAAACATGTAGTATTTACTTCATTACTATATTATTACCTAATAAAGAATACAATACAACTGTACAAGAGTACAACTTCTTGCTACCTGTAGATTGACATTGAATAAGTAAACCTCAAGAGATCATGGTGAGTCCGTGAGAAGGGATGCTTTTCTTTCTCTGTGGTGCAGTGTAGCATGTCGCTGTTCACTCAGTGAATAATTATAGTGTCTTAATACTGTGGCCTCTAATGGACTGTTTACAACAAATTCTGTATGCCTCTTCAAGGACCCTGTCAGAGCATGACTGAACAAAACATCAACAAGTGCTCCTCAGTGACAAGATCAATCAGTCTTGGTGACATTACCTTGGAGCTGGCTATTAGGATAGCAAAGCACGGTAATGTGCACAGGATGAGATATGCCATTGCTGTTGGTCTCCTGAAAAAAAAACACAGCTTACATTTACATAATGATCATCCCATAATGAAGAGTAACTGTTCTTTTTTTAACAAGTGCATGAGTTTATATTTAGATTTTTAATTTGTGTTTGAAAAGACTTTGAAGCAGTCTTTCAGTTTTATGCAGCTTAATAATTCTCATCTATAACACAGCAGCTACACTCAATTACAGTTGTTATCTATGCTCACTTGGTTTATATTCCCTTTTGAGAGTAAGGGAAGACTTCATTTCTAAGGCATAAATATACTTACATGATCTAAAAGGTTGTATTATTAAGGGTAGCACTTAGTAGAGAGGAGTCATTAAACTAATAATTAATAGTTAAAATAGTTGATCTGTAATTTCAGTTCCAATAAATACTACCAAATGATGAGCTGTAATACCTGACAATTTAAGACTGTAGCAGCAAATCACAGAACTGAACTAAAGTTTACTCTGTAAACTCGACTTTTCACATTTAAGATGTGATTTATTCTTTTTTTAAGGTTACACAGACTCGGTTTATGTTTATACACACAAAACGATAAGCTTGTCACTTATCACGTTCCAAAAGCCTCAACTCACCACTGCGTGACCTCTCTGATGAATCCCCGCTGCTTAATAGTCATATATCTGACAGGAGCCCACACCAGCAAGGTCACAGAGGTCACATAGGCGATAGAAGCCGCCACAACGAGCCAGTATGCTGTCTGATCCCGTCCTTTCACGTTGTATATGAGGCTGGCAAATCTCTCCATGATTACAAAGATGGGTACAATCAGTGCTGCAAACTGCAGCACCTCATACAGGATGAGCTTGACTTTCTTCCCCGAGGGCATGGTGCTGGATTACCAGTCGCTGATCTGAACTCAGAGCTTAAGACTTTAACAATCATCTCCTAAAAACGAGCCGGTGGAGACGCTGGACTCTGCACACTGACATTGCTTACACTGCACTGGAGGCTGTATTATTTTATTGCTGAGGTAATGAGGTGATCATGCTTGTCTTTTTTTTTTTTTATGGGGGGTGACAAAGAAGAGATCTCCCATCCTATAATATCACAGGGGCAGATTACACCGAGCTATAATTGTACACACCTTCCAAAAAGGAATAGTGACATTTGTTTTTAAATGCCCATCGCAGGTGAATATGGAGGATTTTTAGGAATGTGTCATCCTGGATACTTGTGTAGTTTTGGAGAACCTCACTGCATTCCCTTATGCGAAGAGGAGATGTAGGTGGGATCCTAAAAGTGTTATCTTAAGATATTTGGTTGTTTGACCCATGTGTTGTTTTTTTTACAGTAATACACACATTGTTTGCAGATATAATTTTACAGTGAGTTGATGTTAAAATTTCAACCAGATAAACCTTTATAGTGAGCATAAACTATCCTTAATAGTTTCCTACTGCAGTTACAATCACAGTGACATGCTGAAAGGCTACATGCAGCTTTGCTCAGACATGCTCAGATCTCCACCTGGTGGCAAGAAGAAGGATTTTCTAGGTTCTTGCTTTTCTCTAAAGAAAAATTACTTAGTTATGAAATACATTCTTGATATATAAAGCATTAACATTTGGAAAACCATGGATGGATTTGTGTGTGTGTGTGTAGCTGAAACGGAGGTATACCTTTCCATCGCTAAATTCCCAACCAGATAAAACTTAATTACTTCCTACTGCATTTAAAGAAGCTAGTTGTTGTGATTTGGCGCTGTATAAATAAAACTGAATTCAATTTAAAATCACAGTGACACGCTTACAGCCTTGCTTACACATACACCAAACTCCACCTAGTGGCAAGGAAGAGGAAAATTTTCTAGTTTCTTACTGAAAGGAAATCAAACTATATAATCATTTAGTTTTTCCAAGTTTCTCAATCATGTAGGGATGATTGTAGGAGGGGTTTGGGGGGAGCTTAAGAAGTTTAAGTTTGGCTGGCCTGTCTTTGACTGGTGAGTATGATATGAATATAATATCCTGGGTGCTTGTGTAATTTTGGGAGAACTTCCCTGCATTGTGTTATGTTAAAGGCAGAGGGCATGTAGGACAGAGACTGTAAAATATTGTCTTACCTGTTGTAACAGATATGTCCATTATGTCTAATTTATATCAACCAAATAAGTTTTCCTCATGCAGAAATACCTAAGTCTCACAAACAGTAAACAATTAAACAAAATTGCTCAAAAACTTAACCATTAAAGCATCAATCATCACAGTATAAAAGTTAAACGTCAGTGACATCTTCTGTCCAGTTAGAAAGCATAACGTGTTGTTTCTTTTTCAGATCTGGCACATCTGCTTAGCATGAACCTGCTCTCATCTGTGAAGAGAACAGGGTGTCAGTGGTAAACACCAGTCAAGCTGCATGATGCTGAGCTGTGAGCATTGACCTATATGACACCCTGATGGAGTCTCTTTCATAAACCTGTTTGAGGTCATTTTCTAGAACTCTGGCAGCGCTCTTTTTCACACAAACAAATACCGGTCCTGCTGCTGGGTTTACACCCCCTCTCCTTCCCTGTTAAGCTCTCTTTGCAGTTGCAGGCCCATTTCCTGGTTTGTCCTCCACACTCTGGGAATTGCGCTGGGAGACACAGCAGTGCGCTGGGAGACTACCTGTGCAACCTGAACCAGCTGCAGCAAAACCAGAGAAAAATCAGTCAGCAGGGAGAGAGCAACAGTCTGCATCGACCACCTGCACAGTCTTTGCTGTTTTGGAGGGGTTATTTGGTCGTTGCCTAATCACTGCACCTGTTGTCACACTGAGTCACACCAAAGCAGGTGAAACTGATTCATGGTGGTTTATACTTCTTAACATGACGGACGGATCATCCTTTAAATAATGCAGACTGTGTGTGTCATACTGTGATAATCAGGACTACCCTTACTTGCATAAATATATGAACACAATATCAAGCCAAGTGAAGTCATTAGTATTCTGTACATTTGGCCTGGTTTTATTGTGAATACCAATTAATAAGTATGGTTAAAAGAATACATACAAACAGCAGGGTACACCTTTAGACGGAACCTTTACAATAATGTTGCTTTAAAACTAAAAAAAAAAAAAAAAATGGCAGCATCTCAGTCCTGTACAAAACAAAAAAAACACATCAGGTTACAGTCCAACTCTGGGGGTGCAACAAGATGTGACATCTGGATGATACGTGACAATAAACTGGCTCCTATGGTCCCAGAACAGCTGCTACTTTGATATTTTTAACCCTCTTTGAACAAACAGATTAATTTTCCATTTCGCTCCTGATTTTAGTTGAAGGCAACAAAACAAAGAAACAAAAAATATTCCTCATCTTTCTAGCGCTCAATTAAGGAACTGGAGGTACAGAGCTTAAAACAAGTCGGTTTGTAATCTCACAGTGGTGTCGAGAAGTAGGAAGTTTGAAACATGGTACCTCCTGAAAAACTTAAACGACACCAATTTGTTAGATCAACACACTAATTTCACCAGAAATTGAACAATTCTTAAGAATTCCTTCATGTAACATCATTTGATGTCAAATACAACAGATAAATTAGTTTCCTTTTTTATAGTCCAGTCAGTTTTTGTAAACATGAACTCTTTCCCAAAGGCTTTGTCCGAGTAGAAGCAATATAAATTAGATAAATATGAAGAATAAGATGAATACGGTAGGATATGAGGAGCAGACCTGTACATTTGATCTTGAATGACTTACATAGCGCTAACTGTTTAGCTTAGGGAGACTTTGGTAAAGAGCCGTTTACAAATCCTGACTCTGAATATTCAGAATCAGAGACACCTTCAGGTAGAATCTGTATTAGTGTTAACGGACAGGTTTGAAAAGCATGGAGGGGTTCAGTCAGCTTTTACATTATCATTTGAGCCTACAGTACATCACGCATGTATCAAACACAGAGAGAAATGTCCATGTTCTTGTGTAAGCAATTAAATATACAACTAAGTTAGACAGAATATTACATATCCTGATCTATTCTCTGAATACATACATCCTTCACTGCTTCTCCATTTAAAATATCTTAACAATAATCAAAACATAAATTAAAACGTACTACAAAAAGAAAAAAATAAGCACACTAACTAAAGAAATGCTTTAAAGACACTGGGGAGACACTGGGGCTCTCCCACTTAGTAGCCAAGTCTGTGGTGCGGGTTTGCTAACACAGCCCCTGATGGGTACAAAGCAAAGCCATCAAAAAAGATGCGTAACCGCCCGATTTAAAAGGAAAACTCTGCAGCATGAATTAAGCAGTCAGTCTTGTTTCTTTGAGAGAAAAAAAAAACAATGCAAAAAGAATAGAAATAAAGAAATATACCATTTTGTTTTCAGACACTTTTTCCCTGCAACCACTTTGTTCTCTTTGGCTCGACACCTTTCAACACATCTGGAAAATCCCGACTGCAGAGTTCGCCTTTAAGGCTGAGAGAAACAGCCGGAGCTGTGCTAGCATACAGCTCCACCCATGAGGTCATCATGTGGCTTCACTACTAGTTCAGTACAGTATATACAAGAGTTATGTGCATGCTTCAGTTCCTCTACTTTCTTTTCTCTCCAAAAACAAAGTGGCTTCAGTTTTCAGTACTTCTAAAATTTGACAACATATACAGAATGTAAGAGTATCCTGATGTTTTCAGCAGACCAAAAGTCCTTTAATTAAAAAAAAAGAAGAAGAAAAAAAGTTGACACCCCTTTCTGAGACATGATTAGAACTATAGTTTGTTTAAGTGGGTGAGAAAGCTGTGGGACACTGTCATTTTATTTCTATGTCAGTGTGTGAATGAAGGAAAATGATCACACACTACTACAGGATACGTGAACCAAGTAGTGCAGCTGTGTCTGTATGTGCATTCGCTGCTGTATGCCAGCCTGTAGTGTGCATCGTGTGTGTGCAGTCTCAGTGTGTGTACTGAGGGTGGTGTGAAGCTGTGTGTTTGTGTGTGTGTGCATATATTTCACACTTGATCAAATAGTAATTGCATTTTTTTAAATAGCTAGCTAGAAGTGGGAAACTGACATTTCTTCTTATTATTTTTAAGTTGTTGTGTAAGAACTATTAAATTTAATAATACAGGAAAAAAAACAAAACTAATGGCATATTCTGAAGTCAAGCTTCAGCATTAAATATTGGAAGAGAGAATCTAATATTTAAAGAGTATTTGTTTTGCTGAAAAACAACCCTTTTCTGCATGCAAATTTAACTCCATATGCACTAAAAAACAACTTCTTAGCACCAAAGTTTTAGTTTTTCTTCTAGGAACTAATTGGAAAATAATGTTTTGTAACTCAGTGTTGCCATAATTGTTCAATAGTCTGAAATAAATACAAAGCAATTAATGCCATAATGGTTTTGCACGTGACAAGAAAAAATTTGAATGCATGTATTGCTATCAAATCTAGATTTGAAGTGATCGGGCTTGAGAGATGGAAACCGAAAGCCGCTCCATACTTTTATATCTGACTCGGCTAAAGACAGGACATCTGTGAAAATGTGGGAAAAAATAATAATACTAATAAAAATAAAAAAACAACAGTGCCCACTTTGTGACTCAGTGTAGTGTGAGCTCTTTAAATAAATCCCCATGATCACTTCTTTACTGGTAAGAGAAGCAGAACTGTGTATTTAAAGCTGGAGTGTGGGACCTTTGCATAAAAATGAATGTCTGCTATAGTCAAGGCTATTAGCACCTGATAAAACTCTCTAAACTTTGCAGTTTATTGAAGTTTGAAATGTGAGATGTGTGGCGAAATAGCCAGAGCTAAACTTTGGGAGCTATGCAGTTGGAGTTGGGCTAGACGTATGGCAGATAGAAACTGAATCCTTAGTAGATTTACGCTTCTAATTTCTTTGAATACTCTGGATGAAAAAAAGAAAAGAGTTCACCAGTCAGATGAGAGACTAAGATCTAAAAAAGAAAGATGCGATCTTTCTGGCTATCTGAATAGTTGTTTAAAAAGAAAAGAAAGTTTATCCAACTATTTCTTTTCCTAAAATACATTGTTCCCTTATTTTACTAGCACCTGGTAGGATGTAGTGTCTACTACCACCAGAAGATGATGGGACTGCACCTAGAAACTGTTTGCAAGCCAAAAATCACATAACCAACAAAATCAAACAAAAACAGAAGAATAAAGACTCGCATCTAGTTGGCATCAGGCTTGTAGAGCGTTTCGTATTGTGAGATTTGATGCTTGTATAAACAAGAGAAACACGGAAAGCCAACAACAATGAACACTCTCCAACTCCTTCAAAAAATAAATGGAAGTCCAGTGTAAACTCCGCCATATAAAAGTAGTATGTCAAACGTCTGCTAGACATATGCGCAGTCATTTGACAGCAGCATGAATCTTCAAATAACAGGTTAATGCTTTCCAGTGAAAATCAAATAATATTTTTGTTTAATTACTCTGACTGCCAGAGGAAGGAAATTAAAGTTCTGCACTGCAGCTTTGACTGTATATCGGCTGAATACAACAGAAAACATGCCAATGTTAGTTTACTCTGTTTAAATTGTGTTTTAATTGATCTGGTGTCAACTTATGCAATAAAAACACATTTTCAACTATAACTATTTGATCAGGTCTGTTTTTTTGTGAGTGTGTGGTTGTGTCTGTATGTAAGAGTGCATATGTGCCTGTGAGGATATCAGTGAGCTCCTGTGGCCCTATAACAATGCTTTCTCTGAGAAGGGGGCCTGTGGGACATCTGTGGAGGGTGCTATGCTCATGCCAGAGGCAGCGCTGTAGTTTGCGGTCTGCGTCATGCCTGCGGGAGTTGTGCATGGTGCTGGGCCAGGGTTGCTGGCTGGATTCTGGTAGGACTGAACATCTGCTGGTGCCATGCCGCCTGGAGCTGCAGTGTACACAGGCGGCTGGCCCATGTACATATGAACGTCACTGTGAAAAGAATGATGGGGAAAAAGTGAATATTATACTACATCAAGTTATTTTAACACTAGTAAACCTCTGTCTGTTTAAGAGCAGAACTGTTGTGGTGTGTAAGGAATTGCTCAATGGTGAGAAATTACTGCTTTCAATTCCAAGTACAGCAAATACTTTGATTTAAAATGTGGAAACCAAGATTCAATTTCAATGAGGAAAAACCAAAAGTTGTTCAGGTATTTAAGAAGGCTTCGTCTATAACGCTGGAACAAGTGAAAGCCTGGTTCTGCAGCTGAGTAACAGCCTCTGATACCAGCGGAAAATTTACCATATGTAAAAATAACTTAAAGAATAAGTGAAACGTGAATTTAATTAAGCATTTAAATGTATTTGCCATTTTTCATCTCACGTAAAAGAGAGGAGAACAACAGCGGAAACTGATAATCTTAGTATTTGTACTGCGTGCTGTAGCAGGACCGTGGGTAACCTCAAACTCACCTGGGAACTGGTTGACCAGGAAGGGGAGTTCCAGGAGGAAGTTGCTCCATAGGAACGGTATAGCCTTGCACCCCAGCACTGCTCATGGCATATGAACCTGATGCAGGCTGACCAGGGTAGACCTGTGGTGACAAATATAAACATAAAGTAAATATTAATATTCAATCAGCTTTAAAGTCCTTGAAAAAATGACAACACCTAATGTTGTCTGTGTAGATTCTCAATCATTCAGGTTCATGGTAATCTATCTTTTCTTTCCAAGCGTCTTAGACTTCCCAGTGTTGGTACTTCCCTTTCAGAATGTAGCTGCTTCTCAAATTTAAAAAAAAAGAAAAAAAAGAAGAAGTTTGTATTGACTTCACCTGTTGTGCGGCGCTGGCAGGCTGCTGCATGTAATACTGTTGGCTCTGCAGCTTGGCATACATGGCATAGACGGGATCTTCATTCATCAGCTTGGCATATAAAGACAGCGCTTCCATCACCTTCACGTTCAGCTCTGACAGCTCCGAGTGCTTCCTGGTGATACAAACAATCAGCAATCCATATCTTGTCAAACACCTTCTGCATGTTATTCGCTTCTGCTGAGCTTACAATGTTCTGAATTTCTATGAATAAAGCACGCCACATCAACACAATGTACCTGTCAATATCCTCCAACTTCTGATCAATGAGGGGCCCCATTTGATTGCAGGCACCTGATGAAAAAATTGTTTAAATCTCTTTCTTTGGCTGACAGAAATCCACCTTTTCCAAAATGCAGCATGTGTACAATGTTATTAAATAGTTTTCTTTCACTTCCATATACTCATATTTTGCATAAGAAATTAATAAATAAGTGAATGAAAATTACCTTCAAGCTGTAATAATTCAACACTGTCAGACTGGTTGTCTGTTGGATCCGCACTTTGAATCATTTGCAGTAACTGGTCCATTTTGTCCTGAGAAGATGTGATAAGTATCGGATAGATGTGAGATCATTTCACAACTTAATCCAGAAGTAATAAAGTTTTTTATCTTATACTGGAAGAGATTTTTTTATTTACTGTAGCAACTTGTGACCTTAATAAATCTGAATGATCTGAGTAAGAAAGCGCACACAGCAGAGCACTCACCTCGTCTATGTACACTGGCTCCTGTTCGGGCTCTATGGTCTCTACCTGAATGTCCTCACTGAACTGTACTGTCTTTTTCTCCGTCTTCACTGTGGGTTTTCAAGTAGCCGTAGATGCAGCAGGAGAAAAACAACACAACAGTGGCAGTGGTCAGCAACGCAAACGTAAGAGATAAGAACAAACTAACTTGATCGCCTGTAATGCTCTGATAGAAGCATGCAGCACAGGAACAGATATCAGATAAAAATAGAAGTTACGAGCTGATAAAAGTTTTTCTTTAACTTCAATTACAAGAAACGGTGGCACACAGCATGAAGGCAGTAGAAGTGCAACAGCATGATGTACATACCCAGTATGCAAACCCACAGAATCAACAATATGACAAAGCCATACAATTAGCAAGCAATAACAACAAAGGTTATCTTAACCAACAAAAAGTGGATGTGATGAAAAAGCCAGAAAACTCCCAAGAATAAATTTTTAAGACTACACATTTCTGTGGAAACAATGAATTAGATAGAACAGAGCATCAAGATACCAACATATGAATATGAATGTTGCATTTCAGAGGGCTCTGTAATTATACCAGAAAAAGATTTGGTACATAAGAAAAGATTATCAGCAGGAGAAAGTGCTGATCACACACTGCTTGAACTCCTTCCCAGAAATTTAGGCAGTGTTATTTTTTCAGTACCTATTTTGTGTCTCTTACTGCACTCTGCTCTCTGGATATCACACTCCCAGATCTATAAAGCAATGCTGCTAATGGACTAAATGGGCTCCCAAAGAAACAGCAATGATTCAAGTGTGTGTACTCACTCATCTCAGGCTCTGCAGTGAGATCAGCAGTGACAAAGTTGGAGGGAAACAGCCCCACCCCCTGATATGTTTCCCCTTTCCACCAGTTTGGGTCACTGGGAGAAAGAAAACAAAAAGCCCATTCAATTATGAGAAAAATGTTGCCTTTAGTAATTGAATTTAATCCTTAATAATTTCATTGGCATTTTACAAAGTCATTTCCAGACCTCTTTAAAGCATGAATACATAGATGTGATGTTTAAAACGTATTTTTCTTTTGAGTTCATGGATTCTGTGCTTTTCTAAAGAGCATTTCAAAAAGGCTTCAAAGAGAACAGCCATCCAAATAAGAACGCAACATAGGCCCGGGAAATCTGCTCACTATTATATACTGAAAGTCCTGGTTTGTTGTGTGCTCTTGATTATATTTGTGTAAATGTTCACCTATCGTCCAGGATAGTGATGATTTCTCCCGACTTAAAGGTGAGCTCATTGTCCTCTGCAGCCTCAAAATCGTAGATGGCACGGACTTTTCTGCCGTCAGACTTGTGTGAGGAGAGCAGGGTGGAGGTGTTTGGGTAAAGACTCGACATTGAGGTCTGCGGTTGCTGACGCTGCTCCTTCAGAGACAACTCGATAGCTGCACACAAGAGAGATAATAAGATAATCACAAGAGTGTGATTGTGTGTTTGCCCTTGAAAACCTTGTGGAACATCTGCAATTCATTAATCCACAATAACAGGGGGAGTTTTTCAAAGCCAATAAACAACAGTTAAAATGTGTTTAATGAACATGCTTCTAATGCACTTCTATGTGTGTCTGAATAAAAGAGTCTTTATACAAGAGTCCTTTACAAAAACTGTGCACTGCTCTGATTATCTGATAGAGTCCTCTTTACCTTTGGCCAAATCCTCCTCTTCTTTTTTGTTTGTTGATGTGGAGGGATCCTTTGCCACTAAAGCTGGGCTTGCTTTTGCTTGCTCAGCAGCCTGTGAAGACAATAATCATGTGCTTCACATAAATAATGACTTACACTCATGACTCAAAAGAATAAAAGAACGGGGATGGATTTTGAGCAAACCAAGAGAGATACTAGCATTACAAATAGAATGAGCCAGAACTTAAAATTCTGATCTTAACCACTAGCGCTGCAACGATTCGTCGGCATAATTGATGACATAGACTATAAAAACACGTCGACGTGGAATTTTAAAGGATTTCCCAGAAAACAAAGTTGAATGCAGACTGTCAAAGCAGAGCTTTTCCTTCCACAGCAGCACGACTGCAGTGCACCAGAATGTAAAACGTCAGCAATCTGGAGCTGTGACGTCAACTCTGAGTGGGTCAGTTTTAGAGAGTTAAGTTAGTGTGTCGCTTTGATACCTTGTTTATATTAATGTTTTTACAGTAATGTTTATGTTAGCTTACCTGTCGTAAGGTAAAGATGATGCTTGTTGAGCCAACATCATTTCAGTTTTGTTAGCTAATGAGTGAAATGCGATAGTAAAGCATTAAACAGGAGTCGCTACACTGTTTCCTAGTTTTTGTTTTTCTCACATTAATATTAGCGTTTATTCTGAACAGTAAACATTTTCCAACTTACGTCAGGTATGTATCCACTGCAATTGTGGGGGTGGGGTATAAACCACCATACTCATATACCAACCTGGGAGCCCACAGCAGGGAACGTGACACCCTGTTCCCGTAAATTCTTGATCATTGCTGAGATCAGGCTGAGCTGCGGATCATTGCGGAAGTCTTCCGCCCACTCCACCATCAGGGCCTTCAGCTTCTCGCAGACTTTGGGGTGGCCCTGGAGAACACGCATTAAAGCATTTTATGCCAACACGGATCAAAAGTGAACCTTTTTGAAGAAATCCCACATAGTTAATGTGGCTTATTTGGACAACACACAAGAAAGTGAAATTTACCACACACCTTGTTTAAGACATTACTGACTTCACTGGCAAACTCTCTGGAGCACACCTCCAAGTGGAAAATTTTCCCACAGTTTGAGACACAGGCACCGAGAAGCTGCAAAGACAAAGTGTACATCATCTTCATGAACCTCATGAAGTAAGTAAACACCTGAAATACTTTTGACATACGTAATTTATCACTTATAAAAGAGTAAATGTGGTTACTTTATTAGCTTATAGCTTAGTGTCATTTAAGAAATAAGTTATCAAACATAAACAAAACATGGCTGTTTGTTAAGAGTCTGCTTACAGTCAGTGCCTGCATGGCTACGTGAGGGTCCTTGTGGTTCACTCTTCTCATTATAGAGCGGAGGCATTCTTTGGGCCTGGAACAGAACAGCACAACTCAAAGGTTTGAGAAGGTTAAGCTATATTAAGCTCTTCTTTTAAACTTCTTTAGACTTCCTTGAATATATATTCTAATGATCCAAAACTCAAAAATATAAAAGAAATGTGTTGGTATGCCTCAGAATGAGGAAAGTTAACTGACCCAGTGCGTGACTGCCCTATCTTGTCACATATGTCCAGAATGAGGCCCCAGTCCTCAGCAGTGTTCATCTCACTGGTTGCTTTCTCTGCAGGAAAGAAGAACACCAACCGGCGTGAGAAGAAGTCTTTACAGCAAAAGCATATTTTTTCTGCATGACTGTATTTAGAGATGGGAAAGAAGAGACATGGGAATTCTGTAGAGGAGTAATAAAGCTACTGTAATCCTACAAAAAAAAAAAAAAAGAATCACTGTTGTAAACGGTCCGTGAGAATCCTCTTTTCATGATCATGTTTGGTATTGAGAAATCAAAACAACAAGATTACTATGTTCCTCTACACATAAGCATAAACATGATGAGATACAAAGGGCTGACAATATATGAGAAGTGCCCCATCAACACTACCGCACTACAGTGAACACAATCTAACAGCTCATGATCTGCGAAGACTTCACCTGAAGTTTATCTAAGGATCAGTGCATTTCAATCAGCAGTGGGTTCTATTTGCCACTTAAGAATTGTGTTTTTGGGGTTTTCCTTCCAAATGAAATGGTTAGTCTTGCATCTACTCTGTGTGTTTGACTCCTCTGGTCTTGGAAGCAGCTTCATGTTTTACCAAGTACCACTTGTGCAATTTTGAGCAGATAAGGTGTTTAACAAGAACATTTTAGATTTAGATTAAACAGATGTTAAAATGCTTTGTCTGACAACATTTTAACATCTTCTTGAATGTTGTGCCAATAATATTTAGCCAATAATAAACATCAGTCAGTGGCATCACATAGCAATCAACAGCGCTGATTTTTCAGGGTTGCAGTTGAGCTGGAGTCTATCCCAGCTGTCAAAGAGCAAGAGTCTAAGTTAGCCCTGGACAGGGTCCCAGTCTATTACAGAGCTAAGTGTATTCCAAGTATAAACATAGGAATGGAAATGAGATGTGTAAATAGCTGACATTGCTTTCTAACATGAGTCATCAGTTGCTGTTACTAGGAAGTAGAAGTAATAATTGGGAAGTAATAAGTACATTAAAAAGTTTTTTTTTGCTTCTTTTGCTCTTGACAAAAGAAGCATTAGAAAAATATGTCTATATACCCTAAACAAGATTGGAAGTATTAGAGATGGACAGAAAGCCAAAATTCATTATCCTTGTTATGTGGCACCCAGTTTTATCTACCTGCCACACCTGACTGTGTTCAAACCATAAAGAACCTCTTTGAATGTTTGGAAGATCTGGAATCACAGATGTAAAAAACAAAAACAAACCCTTAAACTAAAGAAAGAAACTAAGAAAAACTGAAGTTATTTTATTCAGACCCCCAAGCTACACAACCATCCTCAGTGAGGCAGATAGTCCTTTAACCAGACAATCTTTGTGTTTTTATGAGACATTCCGTGAATTTTAGCAATCAAAGGAATGTTGTGAAGGAGAGCTTTTACCAAGTGAAAACCACTGCTAGAGCCAGTTCTGTTATCCAAGCCTTTACCAAATCTCACCTGGTCTAATACAATTCTCTGTATATAGGATTGCCCAATTCCACGCTTTCCAGTTGGTTCAAAACGCAGCTGATTGACTCTTGTACAAAGAAAAGATAGCTCATCGCTCCTGTTTTAGTTGAACTGCATTGGCTGTCTGTGAAGTTTCCAATAAATGAGTTTCACAACAGATATTTTTTTTGTCTGTAGGTCACCAACTCATTATCCCAACAACTTCTCTCAGTGCCCCTTACTTGACTGAAAGCTAAAGGCAACCAGGCAAATGTGGTTACTGCCCCTGGCTCTGGAATAATCTGCTTCCCCAAATAAGAATCTGATCAACAGCTGATGATTTAAATCAGCTCTAAAGATTTATTTACACTTGCTTTAATTAAGTCTGAGGTCCCTCATGGTTTGATCACACTCACTGCAAATGTCTTTTTTCCACCCGTTTTAGTTGACTAGTAATGTTTTTTATTCTTATTTCTGACGTTTTTTTCCACTTATTATTTTTCATTATGTTGACTGACTATGTGAGCCTGTAAAGCACTTTGGCTGCTGTCATGTCATACAAAACAGTATAGTGAAGTAACAGATGCTCACAACAGTAGTAAAAGCCAGGAACAGAAGAGCACGATCAGTTAAAGGCTGGTTTGTTTTATCAAAACAGCATTTACTGCTGGGTTTGGGCTTGAGGCTGTGTATGGGGCTCTGCAAGTGAACGGTGTTGTGTATTTTTCATCTATATGAAAACTACACGCTCTACATGAAAATTAGGTGGCTAACCACTCGACAAAGATCAAAGAGACGACAGGAAATACAGCGATACTCTGTGGTTTCCCATAGCTCCGCATCCTCTTTCACTTCCACTCACTGTGAGAGGTCAAGCACATAATTGTGGTTAGTTAACAGAAGATGGGATACATAAAGGTAGCCAGTGATATGGCTTGCTAACTCAATTCAGTGATCCGATGACAAGCCTGTGTCTCCGCCTTCATTAAGAGTTGGCCTGGCTTAAATAATACACGTAATACATCTCGAGAATAACATCACCAGTTTAGGATGCTTTCGCCAAACGGTCACTTGCTGTTTGCTAGCTAAATATACACACAGGGGAGCAAGCTAGCCATCTATGCTCCTCAAAAACAAGCAAAACAGACATCAAAATTAATATCATGGGCTTCAGGTTGTCAGTTTACACAACCTACAGTATGTACCAAACGTTACCCATATACCAATAATATATATCCAGTGGCTAAGTGAAATGTTCCCCACAGCTGGAGAACACAAACAAAGCTGTTTGGTCACAGCTACTTAGCTAGCCTGCTAATAACAGCCTCCAGTTGTGATTACTCACCAACATCTTGGTCAAAGGGGTTAGTCGTGAAGAGAGGCATCGCTTGGTGTATAGACGACAACAGATTTCGCCTTTCCCAGATATTTTCTTTCCCTCTTTTTTCTTATTTCATACAATACAAATGCATAGTAACGACAACCTAATGGGCATCAAAGGCAGCTAACTGATTCTTTTCACACAGTCACTCCTTCGCCAGACGGCAACAAGCAGGGCATTCTGGGTAATCGAAGGAGCCCTCACTGTATTTAATAAACGGTTATAAGCTTCTACAGTTTAACACTCCCTGTCGGACTACTGTTCATCCCTGTGTGCTGTCTGCAAACTAGAGAGAATGAATCATAAGTCACCAATTGTCCTTGGCATAGAAAAAAATAACATGTCATCGTCAGGTGATGTCAATCACGTGACAAAATGTGACCGTGAGGTTGCAGCGCGTGAAAATGAGTAACACATGAAGACTTTAATCTTGTAGTTAAGAGGATTTGTGTGGCGTAAGTGAAGCAATAAATGAGTAATTACTAATTTAAGTAATTAACAGTGGTCTAAACTAAACTACATTAACCAATATGTAATTCTAGCACAGATGACATTAACTGCTTGATGTCTACAAACCTTTTAAAATTGAACAGAGACAAGAAAGAAATATTTGAGATATTTATCCAGTTATATTACTGGATATATTATCAGTTTAAAGCAGCGGCATCCAGAATCCCTACACAGAAACACAAACTTTATCAAATTACCCCAATATTGAAGTCTTCACTGGGTCCTGGTTCCACCCAGGATTACGTTTAAAATCTCTGTTAGTTCATACAACTCTCAGTGATTTGCTCTTCAAGTACATCTCTGACTTGCTCGGTAAGACCAAGTGGACCTCTCTAGAGAGGTGCAAATCTTTTAACTATTCCCTGAGTTGGACCTAAATGCGCTGAGGGTGCTTTGCATCACTGTTGTCTTGTCCTTTGGACCAAGATGCCTAAAGTCAAGACACAACTGTGTCTATGTTAAAGTTCTGTTTAGTTGATAATTAGTTGTTAATTGCTTTAGGACATTACCGAGATACAGTTTAAAAATGTTTTTATAA